CCCCCCGAGGCCGACCTGTGGGGCGGCGCGGACGGAGGGGACTTCTTCGAGACGGGGCCCGGCATGACCAACAATCTCAACTCCATCATCATCCAGGACTGCATGATGGAGCTCTTACCCGAGTCGCTGAGCGTGTCGTCCCCGGAGCTGCTGCTGCTGGCCCGGCTGTCCCCGGCGGGGCGCGGCGAACGGCCGCCCCGCGGAGCCCCACCGCCCGCCGGGGCCGCCGCCGGCGCCTCCCGCTTGTTGACGGGGAAGGGGAACACCACGGCCGGGTCTACGCACTCGGGCACGGCGCCGCCCAGCTCCGCGCGGCCGCTCCCGGCGGCGGGGCCGCCCGCGGGCCCCGGGGGTGGCGGTGGGGCGGCGGCGGCGGGCGCCTTGCTCTGCAGCTTCTCGCTGACCGCCCGCTCCAGCTTCTCGCGGGCGGAGAAGCCGCTCCACATGCAGTCCTGGATGATGATGGAGTTGAGATTGTTGGTCATGCCGGGCCCCGTCTCGAAGAAGTCCCCTCCGTCCGCGCCGCCCCACAGGTCGGCCTCGGGGGGCAGCAGGAGTAGCTCGGACGCCCAGTCCAGGGGATCGGTGGGGCGGCAGCCCCCCAGGGCCGCCCCTCCCCACGCCACCGGGCCCCACCCCGGAGGGTGCTCCTGGAGCCCGGCCCGGCTGGGAGACAGGGGAGGGGTGGGCAGTAGCTCAAACTTTTTCCAGATGTCCTCGCCGGGGGGAGCGGAGTCCGGCCCGCACAAATAAAAATCATCTTCGTCTGGATAGAAACAGGGCTGCAAAGAGTCGAACTCGAGATCTGGGTTTTTACTGACCATTCCTGGCATTACGGGTCTCTTTTTGCTGATCCCTGGGTCGGGCAATGGTTTCAAAGACAGGTTTTACGGGTATTTCCACCAAGGGGAAGAAGAAAAGAGGTTCTCCCAAGACCTGAAACTAAACCAAAAAAAAAAAAAAAACACCACAATTAAAATACGAATTAAGAAGCAGCCAAGACCGTGACTCCCTCCTAACGGAAGGGAAAAAAATAATAATCCCACCATCAATAGCAAGGCAGAGGGAGCCTTCAGCAAGTTGAGGAAAAAAATGCATCTCACATCTTTCCTCCCGACTCAAAATATTGAAAGCAAAGCGCTCAGGTAGTGCTCCCCCGTGCAGAGCCTGCCCCCCCGCTCCGCGGGGACACAAACCCAGCCTGTGCTCATAGCCCTCGCCTGCTCTCCCCAAACCGCTTCAAACGCTCAAAACTGCAGAGTAACTACAGACAGATGCATGGCTTTGATACCATAATCTCTCCAGAAAGGCTTCTTAATATGCCAGCAAAAGTAGAGGAAGTTTACTCCTTTTGTCATCTGCGGAGCAGTGCAAAGGGGAGAGGAGAAGGATGCAAAAAAGGGGGCGGAGGGGGTCTTTGCAACTTCGCAAATCGCCAGTTCACTCACTCAAAGCGAGCCAGCGAAATCCGCACACAACCCACGGGGGGAGGGGTGAGAGGAGGGGAAATCCAGCAGCAACAGAAATTATCAACCTTATGTAATAATCTCACGCACAAAATGCATTAAAACCACCCCGGCGCCACCAACAAAGCCTCCTGATTTGCCAAGAAGGCATGGGAAGTTTTTCTCCCCCTTTTTCCTGCAACAGCGAGGTTGCAAGGACAACAACTCTGCTCATTTTGCCACTTCATGCACTCAAACCTCCCGCAAACACACCAGCTCTCCAGCTCTCTCACTCCGGGGAATGTACGCTGCTGCCCTTACCTCGGCCAGACCCCCACTCACTACCCGCGGCCATTCAACCACTGCCCCATTCCTCTGCCGAGAGCTCCGTTGCATCAGACATTAAAAAAAAAAAACCCCACACACAAAAAACCCCCAACAACAAAAACAAAAAAAGGCTTAAAGTCCAAAGAAGCCAGTCAGCGTTTCCATTCAGTTTGGTAAAGGTACCGCGAAAGGAAATCGTTCTGCTGGGTTCACAACAGCTGACGCTGAAACGGAGACCAAAAGAGGGGGAAGAAAAAATCCTTGAAAAGCCTTATGATGAAACGCCGAGAAACGCGCCCGGCTCGGCTCAGCTGCGCTCCCGCCCCGCCCCCTGAGCGCCTCCAGGACTGTGCATTTTTCTACTAGGGAAATACATTAAACCGTTTAAAATGCAAAGCAGTAAAGAGGCACCTACAAAACACTGGCGATCTCAATGCGACAGCTCCAAACCAAAACACAAATATCCTCCAGGATTTCCTTCTGCTCAGTGAGAACCCCATTCACGCTCCGCTCTGCCCCTCCGCTCCCCTTCCCGCCCCATCCTCCTCTCGGCAACTCAAACGCGATGGAGAATTGGATTTATTTGACTGGGGTTTTGTCCTGCAGCCCAGAGCCTGCAGCTTCCTCTTCTTACCTCCTTGGTGATGGTGGTGGGTGTGTGAGGGGGAGGAGTGGCGGGGGGAAGGGGAGAGAAAAAAAAAAGGCAGCTGATGGTGTCTGTGGCACTTTCCGCGCCCGCCCGCCGGCCCCCGCGGCCGCCCCGGCCTCCGCATCCACCCTCTGCTCGCAGACAGATGACTGTCACTGCCTCGCTTTGAAGCGGCTGGATATTATTAACCCCCCCAAAAGGCAATAAAAAAAACCCGGTAAAAACCCTGACACACTCAGGAAGGAGAGCTAGGAAACAGGGGGAGAAAGGCGGGAGCGACGGCCCTGCCCCCCCTCCACGCGCGCAGGGCGGGACCGCGCGTTTGGCGCCAAAAGCCCCGTTCGCTCTTTATCCTCCGGGAGGGAGCTCGGATGTCCCAGGGCCGGCCCTGCTGAGCCCCCCAGTCCCTTGGGTACTCTATACTTCCCGCTCCCCCCCCCGGCCCCGAGCTCGGGGGAAACGTCGCCTCCGGAGCGGTGTCCCCCCGGCACCCTCCGCTGCGACCTCGCGCACAAACACCTGGGGCAGTTGAAAATAAATAAACAAGTCGGGGCTGAGAGAAGTGGCTGGGCGACAGAGCCACTCCAACTCGGGGCTCTGAACACGATCAGTAGCATTTGCCCTGCAGCGACCGCCTCCCCGCAGGCGAGCGGGGCTCTCACGCCGCCGCTGCCGCGCTGCCGGGGCCGGACCCGGGCAGGGGGGCGGGCGGATGGGCCCGGCCAACCCCGCGCTCAGCGCTCCCGGGTCCGCACCGGCACCCGGACCGGGATCGGGATACGGCGGGAGCCGCCCGCGTTCCGCTGCCGACGGCGACACCTTGCGGACGAACGGCGCGAACGGCGGCGCTCCCGGCGCTCCCGGCGCCCCCGCGCATTCCCCGGCAGCGGCACCCACCGCTCTCGCGCTTCCTTCCCCGCGGCGCGGGGCCGCGGGACGGGACGGGGCAGGACGGGACGGGACGGGACGCGGCGGCACGGGACGGGACCACGGCGCTTCCCTCGGCGATGGGCGGCAGCGGGCGCTGGTACGGTCCCGGTCCCACCGCCGCTCGGGGCGGTACCTCCTCGCTCATAGGCTGCAGGTTGAGGCGGGGACTGGGCGTCGCTCGCTGCAGCCGGTGGTGGCGGGCGGTCGCTTTGTGTGCGGCGGCGGCGGTGGGGCCGCCTCCCCGGCCCGCCTTGGTAAGGACGAGCCCGGGCTCTTCAAACCCGGTGGGCACGGCAGTGAGAGAGCGAGCTGGGGGGAATAAACTCCGAGGGAGGCAGGGATGTGTCGTGTGCACCTTCGCTTCGTCACCTCCAGCAGTTTTGGGCAGGAATGTCCTGCCTCTCCCGCGTGGTGATACCCCCCTCGCCTCCGTGTCACGTTTCAGTGGCCAAAACTCGGAGGCTCCACCAGCCGTTCAGTGCCCTGAGGCGGCCTTGGGAGCCGTCTGGGGGGCCGGCGAGGTCCTGCAGCCGCCGTGTCCGGGACAGCGGTGGGGCTGGCCGGGCACCCCGGGCAGCTGGAGTGGAGCTGGCTCACCAAAGGTGGCAACTGCTTTGCAATGACCCTAGCCAAGGTAGTGAGCCTCTTGCTTCCCCTCACCGAGGTAGCTGGTTGCATTTTTGTTTAAGAGCCTTCGGTTGGTCCTGGCTTAGAGCAGAAAAAGCACCTAGAAGGTGAATCCTCTGTACCAGAGCTTCCAAGTGAACACTATTCAAGCAGGGAACGCTGAAGGTGACTTTCATGACTCCATGAGTCAAAACTTGGCTGGACTCAGCTGTGGCAGGGGCGGCGCCCCATAAAGCAGAGGAGCGCTGGACCTGCTGCTGCCGGGGCTGCAGCCAGCCCCCGTGGTATGAAGCTCATCAGGCTTGCCTGAACTTTGGTGATTTGGCCTCCATCCCTTTAATTCACTTTGGATTCAAGACAGGGGAATTAATTGATTAGCTAAATGTGCACTTGGTTCTTTGAAGATGCAAAGTCTTATGAAAGCACCGAGCTGTATTAATTTCTTTTTGGATGATTTGTCTGGACAAAAAAGGTGTGGGTGGTTGGGATTTCCCCCCCTCACATTTCAGTAGCCTTAAACAGGTTGCAGCTTGTGAACAGTTAGTATGTGGCTCACAGAATGTGTTAACAATTTATTCATACTCATTAATCAAGGACCTTTGTGGATTTAAACAGTTATATATGATTTGCTCCTTTAATTATTTTTGTCTTCCGTAGAAATGGACATGGGCTGCTACCTGATTTATTGCTAATTTAGTATAAATTCTCACCTAGATTTTCTCAACAGCCTTTTTAATTTTCCTTTTTACTTTTTCCCCATATGTATGTGCATGGGAATAAAACTGCCAACTTCTAGGAAAGTTCCACTGTGGTGCGTGATATCTTTTGTAGTACCCTGGATGAGAACATTAATAAGGGTTAACACTTAAGACAAATTTTTTGAAGTAACTTTCATTGCCAAAAAAAATCAAACCAACAAAAACAAAACACCCAACAAACAGGAAATGGAAAGCAATACTCTGAAAAACATTGCCATGTATGAGCACTAATTCTGTTTAGACAAAAGGACTTGTTAAAACTCCAGATCTATTGCTTTGTCTTGTACAGTTAAGAAAGACATGGAAAGCTTTGGTAGGACTGCACAAATCTTTGTGGCGTTTTGACTGATGTTTACTTTGGCTCTTTTATCAACATTTACTTTTCTTTCTCTAATCTATCTCTGAAATGAGATATATTGAGAAGCTTCAAGGCAAATGGAAATCTGAAATTACTTGTAGTTACTGTAAAATTATTATGTTGTTTCACTGGGAAAACTTGGCAATTAAGATGTGCTGATACTAGAACTGGGTACCAATATAGAACAGTTGTGTAACAAATATATTAAGGCATTGTAAGAATTCATTATCTGGAAAAGTAGAAAAATGTGTAAAAAAGTGTATAAAAGGCTAAAGGATACTTTTGCTTATACAGTGGTAGGAATACAAGTGAATCCAATGGTCTTTAATTTGGCCTAATGATGAGCCTGACAAAGCACTGTGCTGAGGGCTTGGAGGTACATGCCGGGGCATAATACGGGGCATAATACGTAAGTAAGTTGCTGGTGGTCAGGGCTACAAAACATTTTCCCATTTATCATTATTGATTCATTAAGAAATGCTATATGAGGCAAATTTCTCTGGCCACATATACCTTTATTTCATGTTAACAGCCTGCAACTGTTGAGAAGATCAAAAGAAACAGAGTATTATTACTTGATATGTGTGCAGTTGTCTTCCTCAGAGGCACCCAAACTTCAGTATATTTCTGAATTTTCTTTACTAGTCAGAAGTGATGTATATACTCTCTTGACTCCATATTACTGTGTAAAAGATTTTGTAAAGAGTTTTGTTAATTGGGGTATGGGAAAAGTGGCCAATACCCCCAGTGTGCTGAGTGCACTTGGCAAAACGTGACAGAATTGGAACAATTTATCCCTGTTCTGTCTCAAACAGCAAAAACTACATGTGAAACTTTCTGTGTAGGACTAGAAAGGACATAAGTATAAACATTCATAGACCTGGATTTTTATTTTTCTTTCTTAGTCCTAATACACTACCTGTTAGATAGTAAAATTTTAAGTAAATTGAATTAAGTATTTGGAGTTGCTGTTAAAGTTAGCATAACAGTTACAGCAGCTGCCAGATTTAGAGGAGCAGATTTATTCCTGCATACGTTAAATAAACTTGCAAGGGAGTTGTGCTGCTCCCTGCTGTGTAGCTGCTGAGGGTGTGTAATCTAAACTATTTCTCTTACCAGTTTCTCTGAAGGTAGACTCTGCTATTGCTTTTACCCTCATTCAGGTGAGACAGGATTAGGGACTTGCCCAGTGTCACATATGGTAACAAAAACAGATTTCCCCAGTATGCTGACTGTAACAGTCTGAGGTAGCAATTGCTTTCTCACAAGTTCTTACAGAGTGCATCAACATCATCTATTAAGATGAGAGAATAGTGCAGAGTCCCAAAGACCTTTGGATGTCACCCCTGCAAAGAATAACAGATGTTCTTGTGACATAAAAGCTCTCAAGTACTGGCCATAATACCTAGTGCTTGTATAGTTTCACATGACCAAGATGTTGAAAAACTTGAGTTATTTCACTTACAGTAACTTCAGAGATCTCTAGCCAATCTCACCTGTGCATCCAGAAACACTTTAAGGAGTACCTAGTAATCAGAGGACTAGTTCTATTTAATTAAAACTAGTTTTGAGGTAGTATTACTCATAAGAAGTAGTCTGATAATAGAATAGTACCCTGGCTACTAAAAACAGAAGAGATGCTGGATTTAGCCGGGTAACTGTGGCTGAATACTCTACCTTTAAGTGTTCCTAGATATATAAGAAATCATATTTCAATAGCTGGTGGAAAGAAAAACAGCTTTCTTCCTTCTCTGCTTGTCCTAGTTAGAGCAACTGGGACCGATTCATCACTGGATGGGTGTAGCCCAAAACTGTGTATTCTATAGCCTTCCATTTCCCAGAAACTGTTATCAGTAGAGGCCTGCGAAATGGGAAGATGTTCTGTCCTCGTACCCTTTTATGGAATTCCCCGCTCTGAGGGGAAGGACTGAGCATTCCTGCCTGAACTGGAGAACATATAAACTTGGAGTTTCGGGACCTTTTTACCACTCGTGGGTCCAGAGGAAGACTGCAGATCACCACTCTCAACCAGACTGAGACGACCACCCTCAGCTGGACTGCAGTCACTATTTTTGACCAGAGTGCACCAGCAGGTTTTTCCCCTCTCCCTTTACTTTGGACTCAGGGGGGGCCCTGTTCATGCCCCACGGTGCTTGGTTATACATTTGGGTTTTGTGGGTTAAGACCAATTGTTTGTCTGTATAATCATACTTATTGTATTATTTTATTAAATTGTTATTCTGACTTGTAATCTCTCTTTTGAGTTGAGTTCATTTCCCCTGCTGGTTAACTTTTAAACCAGCACACTGCTTTTTGTATGTATTTGGTTCCTTTAAAAGTTGTGGGTCAGACAGGTATTTGTGTACTAGTCTTCTTCTGCTTCCCTTCTGGCTGCTCAGAGAGCATTGGAAAACTTTCATTTAAACCAGAAGGACTAAAAATGTATTTTTTAGATTTGGCAGAAGCTGATGGCACTTTCTCAGGGAAACATCCTACTCGCAGCAGATTTTCAAGCCCTATATATGGCTAGATAAACATCTAAGCATTTGTTATCTTATGGTTTTATTCTGAAGCAAAACAAAAGAAAAATAACTTCAAAAAGTTGCGGGTAAGACCCCTAAGTGAAATGTTTCACAATAAGGCTGTGTACATAGAATCACAGAATTGTAGAATCAATTAGGTTGGAAGAGACCTCTGAGATCACCGAGTCCAACCTGTGACCGATCACTAC